AACGAATGTTTAAAAAAACTTTGAATAAACGGCAGAAGTCAACAGGCTTTTCAAAATCCAAAATACTGCCAAACAGGCGCTTTTGCATCTCGTTTCGAAACGAAATCATCCGCGATCGTCTTGTCTGTCTCACCTCACTCTTATTGTCAGTCATCGTCTTGTCTGTCTCACCCCACTCTTCTTGTGAGTCAGCTCGTCTCACTCTCCTCACTGGATATATGAAATCTGATCTGTGATGTGACTCGTTCGGTACGCTGCATTGAGCAGCCGCGTTCAGTTTTTAATTGAAGTGTTTCTTCTTTTAACGAACTAAATGATTTTTATTACTATAAAAAATCAAAACAACAGTGGGGGTCGGTGCCGCGGTGGGCTAGTGACTTAACCGGTGTTGCGGCTTAACAACGGTATCACCGTCAGCACCGTCTATCGCAGCAAGCCTAATCGATAGCCTGTTTTTCAATTTATTGCAATTAAAGGCATTTAATCATTCATAGGTGAGGGTGTCACAAGCAACATTTTACGAATCCCACAGTTTGTCTCCAAAATCGTACAGCGTGCATTGGGCTTAAGTCAGCTAAGGAGCCAAAAGCTTACGTAGCTATTATAAATGCAGCTGACAACAATGCCAGAAAACAAGAGACTGTGTGCCTCAAGTCAACAAACAGTAAGAAAGGTCTAAAATTAGCCCTCCCTGGCATTGTGTTGTGAAAGAATATCGTAAGGTGGGAAGGAACGCAGTACATTCGTGGTGACAAATTAAACCACAGCCAAAGCTGGAGAGCTTGTTTTAAGACTAATGATACACAAAGTCTTCAGTGTGTTGTTTGGCCGGCAGCAACTCCATCATTCCCACGCAGAGCTGCATAAATGACGCTCAGCAGACAGATCCATGAGCCCAGCACCCTCCGCTTTACCTGCAGGCACAGTGAGCTCAGCCAGGACATATTGGATAGGCCTTGAAAAATTTCTGAGGAGGAACTCATTATATAGGAGAACATTGCTGATGTCTACATATGGAGCAAGGACACATCATCTTTTGTCTGTTCAAAGGGTTTTAATGCAAATCTGGTAACCTTTAAATGTCTGCATCATCCCAACGCAAAAACAAAGCTGCTAAAAGTGTCAACAAGTCCGGCTGCCTGTCTCCACGTTCCACTCTTAATTGGATTGTTTGGGAGATTCATGGAGGAGATTTCTAGGACAGGGAAGTTTGAGGTGGCGATACTGATAACGAGAGATAACGAGAGGAGAAAAACATCTACAAATGCTAATGAGTATATGCATTCACATCTAGCAGGAGTTTTCTGGGAAAAAAGAAAAAAAAAACCTGCTCTAACTTGACACCATCTTATAAAATATAAACCCGCCCTGCGGCGCACCTGATCTAGAGCTCAGCTGTCCTCATTGTTTTATATTTCATCAATACCCAGCAGGGCGTCCATATATCCAGTTGGATGGTACAATTTTTGCCCTTTCACGTAAACCAGCTTGGCACTCACTTGCACCTATCAATATTAATCACTGATCCATGGCAGATCCAATCCCCTGGAAATCAAATAATGCTGACTGACCTCTCATACTCTTAGACTAAACTCGCAGACCCGGTCAGTGGTGTAGCGCAAATCTTGAGAGACCCTCCCACAAGAATGGGATGTCAAGAACAGGTGTGGGTGCAATAGTACCTCTGATGGAGACAGTTCTGTTCTTTTGGGCAGTTTAGTAAAGACAAAATATAACTGCACACTCACTGAAGCGTTTTATTATTACCAATGTTTCAGCAATTTTGGGCAATTTACAATCATTTTATATTATATTTATATGATTAAATATATTTGTAAGGGTACATTACCGTTTAAATACATTAAATACAATAATTGCAATACATTTTATTTGTGCATTATATTCAAAGTCTATGTAATGGAGTACTTTATGCTTATTTTTTACATTATTATAATAATATAATATTATATTAATGTTAATATTATACCAAAATTTTTCTACTGTACTGTACTCTACATTTTCTATATATTTTTGTTAAGAAGTGGTTAGGGTGAGGTTAGGAAAGTAAAAATATCTTTATAATAGTAAGTAGTACACTAGTGTTCAAAGGTGTGGGGTTGGTAAGATTTTTTAAATGATTTATTTGATCAAAAAAACAGTAATATTTGATCAAAACACAGTAATATTTTTCATTTTTGAATTTTCAGCATCATTACTCCAGTCTTCAGTTTCACATGATCCTTCAGAAATCATTCTAATATGCTGAATTGGTACTCAAGAAACATTTATATGATTATCAATGTTGAAAACATTTGTGCTGTTTCATATTGTTGTGGAAACTGTAAACATTTTTTGTCAGGATTAGTTGAAAATAAAGTTCAAAAAGAACGGCACTTACTTAAAAAAAAAAAAAAAAACCTTTTGTAACATTATTAATGTCTACTGTCAGTTTGAATCAATGCAGCCTTTCTTAATATTAATTTCTTTCAAAAATATATTTAATAATTAAAATACAATATGAAAGATTTTGTAAAGATTTTTGAAGTTTCCATAGCTGTGTCTATGTAAATACTGTTTTAGATACTATCAATACGTCTATATTGCATATTCAAACATAAAAAAGTATAAACACATATACTAATGAGAACAGGCTGCTTCATTACTTTCAAGCCTCTACTGTCCTAAACAAAAGTCCAAAAATAACATATGCTGCTTTTATGAAGTGTAAAATCAATGTTGATACCATAATACAATCAACCGCATGTAATACCATAATGCTGTGAGGCTGTCCCATATGCATTCATACAATATATCTACTTGTATGGCACACTTTTTTTGCCGTCACAGAAACCAGCTTGGCACTCACATTCACCCATCAATATTAATCTCTGATCTACAGCAGCTCCAATCCCCTTGAGCCGACCCCTCACGCCCACAGACTAAACGCGCAGGACCCAGGGTCATGTTTCACCAGCCGTAGCCGTCCACGGGCCCTAAACACCAGACTGCATATCAGATAAAACACTGTGACTGTTTCAGATGTCTAGCAGGTCCCCCGAGTTCTCCTGTACTCACCGCGAGTGGATTACCCGCCGTGTCTGCTTGAAAGCAAGTTATGCTCGAACGGTAATCCGAGGTTAAGACGGTTGCACCAATAAACTTCTTACATGCTTACTCTGCATGCAGAGAAGTTAGGCCCGGGAAAGAACACAAGAGAACGGCTTTTCCGAGCAAAAACCAGACATGACTTAGTTCAGCCTGATGATCACAGAAAAGTCCTGAGCATAGATGACTCCTCTGAAAGGCTGACACTATCACGCTCCTACTCGCCGTGCATGACGATTTTACGAAAGAGGAGAAAGTGCAGCATCTGTTAAAGGTGCCACTATCGGTGCTTCCATTTAGCCATTTATTTTGTGTTATAAATGGCAATCATCTCTAAATGTCACCCCCTAAAGCTACTGAGCGTTTCGGCAAGACATTATGGCTTAATTCATTTTTTTGATAGTAGAGTGCACGCTATCCTTTCTCACTCTTTGCTAGCTCATCAAAAATGTATTACATTTCTATATAGCACCAATTACCTGCCATTGATTTATTTGCTGGGAATTCCTTGTCCTGAGCTTTCCTTTGCATGTTAAAAAACATGGATTGGTAGAGTATTTTTAAGAGCTCAAGAAAACCTCATTAGGATCAGAATAAAACAGCTACTGGAAAATTGATAACGACAACTGATAACATTCATGGAAAAAAAAAGACCGTCGATACACTGACAAAAAATTTGGTGTAAAAATAATTTCCACTCAGACATTGCTAGTAAATTTTGCACATAATTACAAAGAAATGGCAAGTAACGCATTGAATTAAACATAATTTTGAAGCAGAAAGACTTAAAAAACAAAAACAAAAAAAAAACCCAGCTGATTTGCAAAAAAATAAAATCAGTCAACAAAAAAAGAGGTATTCAAAATATACAATCTGCAAGGGAGCAGAAAAATATGTTCAAATACTCCATTTAATGTCAATAACGTCTACAAGTCTATAAATAAATGTTTTTCTCACAAAATCTGTCATTTTCAGTTACTGTTTAGATGTATTAAAACACCCACAGATGTAGCAGAAAACATCTGGATCATGTTTGCATTTTCCTCTATTACTGGCCATAATTCTGAACTTGACATCAGGATAAGGCATAAAATAATATCTTCAGAATCATTCATACTGTACCTGTGAAAATCAGCTGGAAATTGAACAAACAGTTGTAAGCAGGCTCAGAGAGTGATAGGAATCATGTCTTTGTAGCAGTTTTTCTGGTGATTAAAGGATAGTTCAAGACGCATTCAACTTACAAACGGTTGTCAAAAGCAAAACAAAATGCATCATATTTTGTGAGAAAGTGTGATGTGCTAGAGCAAAACAGACACGGTTTTTGGAATCAGCACCCCATAATTAGTAAGAAACAAGTATTGGATGTCATTTAACAATTATGATGCAGGGTGGTGTAATCTTTGTTTTAATTACAGCTTTAAAAAATATTTTTTTTACAGTGTGTGTTTCATCAGAGCATTTCAAGGATGTGTTGATGTCTTTCTTATGGAAGGCCGAGAATATTTGTAATCGTAATCTGAGGCGCGAACACGCTGAGATCCTGATAAGATTTTCGCTCTCAAATGAATCTCTACGGTGAAAGATCAGTCGAGTGACAGAAAAGGATTTGACAAGCACAACCTGACATGTGACAATGACAGTGAGGCGCCGCAAGGCCACCGAGTCCACTATCTGTGTCGAGATCTTATTAGGGCGGCCGCCTATCTCCGCACGAGCCCCTGCACTTTACCCTCTTCCCGCTGTCTTTTTTAGCTCATGGACAGTAGCATGCATCAGTGGCATACTCTCGTACACGCACAAACACGTAGATGCACAAGCACAGCAGGAAACAGGAAAAATGTAAAAAGGGTGAGATGGAGTGAGAACCCTGCAGCTCAGATGGGATACTGTACCTTGGAAAGCGTTGATGGTGGTAGTGGTGGGTGAGGGGGTTGTGGTGAGAACATCTAGATGGAGAAAATGAAAACACACATAAGAGGTATTAAATGAAGGAGAGAAGTCACAACAGCCATCATGTTAGTATGATAGAGATATCTGAAAGAAAGTGGAACATCTCTTTACCAAGACCCCCTGGGAATATTTTTGTCATCAAATCACAAACCTGACCACATTTACTGGACAAAAATCTTTACTTAATCTGTATTTCTGTCTTGTTTTCTATCTATGCAAGCAGTAGCCTACATAATACAGATCAATATCTGTCATTTTGATGGAATGATTTATACATTTTCCATCATGCTGTTCTTTTATCATCTTCTGATCTGGTCATCCAATTTAATGAACAATATCCTGTTTCTCTTTCCAGATCCTCACAGGGGCAATTCAAAACTTTATTGTCTCCCATTTTCTTCACTTCTAAGCCTTATTAGCATCCTTTTACTGTGGGAATGTTTCTAAAGAAGGGAAATGCAATAGAGCGCAACAGTGCCTGCCCACTTGTTAAGCCGACTTGGTTCCGGAAATATTTTTTCCATTCATTTTTTTTCCATAGGGATTTATTTATTTATTTATTTGAAATCTTCATCAAAGAGTTCAAAGATGTGAACCAAACCAACCAGCTCTGAGATTAATCAAAACATTACAAACTTTGATTTGAAACAAAAATGTATTTGAAATCTAGACAAAAAGGGAAATGTACAAGAATGTGTACTTAATGGCTTTAATGAGGGAATAAACTACAATCCCATGAAGCACTGATGTATTTTTGAAGTCTCTTATGCTCACTAAAGCTGCATTTATTTGATCAAAAATACAATAAAACAGTAATATTGTGAAATATTATTACAATTAAAATTTTACAAGTTAACGTTTAAATGTAATTTATTCCAGTGATGCAACGCTGAATTTTCTGTATCATTACTCCAGTATTCAGTGTCACATGATCCTTCAGAAATCATTTTAATATGCTGATTTAGCTCTTAAGAAACATTTTATTATTTTTTTGTTTCTTTTTTTTATTCTGAATTTATTTGAAATATAAATTTAAGTCTTTATTGTCACTTTTAAATCTAATGCATCTTTGCTAAATAAAAGTATTAATTTCTTTAAAAAAATCTTAATGACTCAAAACTTTTAACGGCAATGTGTATATCATTAAAAATAAATTATCCTATAGAGAAAATTATAGGATTTTTACTTTTGGAACCCAACTGTTGAGCTTTATACAGTGACTTAGCCTATTGTTTTTTAATCTTTGAAAATGACATCAAATGTTTTAAACTATCCGTTAATGTCTTTAATATTTGGTAAAATATTTGGCGTTTTCCATATACTTCAATACAAGGTGTAAATGCACTAAAGAATGTCCAGATGTAAAGGGGGTCTAAGACAGACAATCGCTCATAAATATCCTTGATTGAAACAAAAAATGGCCTGTCATTTTGCTTTTACATGAAATTGCATGTCTGAATGTGAAGCATTTTCCTACAAAACAGTGTTATTGAAATAGCTGAAGGCAAATTGGCCAGCTATAGATATCTGATAAAATGTAATGCAAGAAACATGTAAAGAAAACGACTTGAATTGAAATGATGGGCTTACTACCTTCAACAATATAATATTATGGCTTAAGTAATATAGAATTAGATGTCCAAGCAATAGTGTAAAGCCTGCATTTGAATGGGCATGACACCGGCCAACACAAGCTGTGTGATTAAATAAAACACACTGTGCCAAAGGCTATGTTCAGACAGGCAGCAAAAATCCGACGTTTTGGCATATCTGACTCAAATCCGTTTAGTTGTTTTGTTTCTAGACTGAACAGCGAAAAAAACCCCCACATGAAATCCGATGTTTACAAAGTGATCCAAACCCCATCCAATCCGATTAAAATCAGACTCTTTTAGAATGAGTCCGATCGACGTTTTCCATAATTCGGGACATAGTGTGTATGTAACGTCACACAAAAGTCTGCAATACAGTCTGCAGCTGTGTCTGAATACACCGTATAATGAATGAGTGAATAAATCAGCAGTATTTGCATGAATGTGCCTTGTGATTTCAGCACCACGGTGAGATGCAGTGATGGACGTGAGCAGAGGCAAAATTTCCGTCCTCGTTTTCCGTCCTCTCTTTCCGCACTGACAGCTGCTCTCAGATGTTGTATGAGAAAGTCTCACGGCATCTTGCTGATGCTTACATCATTACTACAGCAACTGATGCAGATGTACCAGATATTGACTTACAAGGCCAAAACAAACAGATCAGATTTCACCGAGTCCCAAAGTTTGCCTCCAAAAACCGAATGGGATTTACGTGCAGTGTGAAGAAAACCAAAGCACTCGATGAGATTCAAATCTTTCAGGCAGCTTTCCTATCATGCAGCGAGTGTGGAAACGGGAGACAGAGAAAATGACATTATGAGAATCATTTATTAATAAACACAGTCATGTTGGATACAGCCATCGCACAATCAGTGGAATAATGGGGCGCTGGCAAATGCGGCCGAGCTGTTGTGCAGTGGATGTGCAATGTGACTATCATTCCACTTTTTAGCACAGATACTCAGGCGCCTTGCTGGGGAACAGTCACAGCAGGCAAAATTGGCTGCCTGTCTCCATCACTTTATTGTCTGTGCTCCATCAAAAGATCTCAGTAGGAGCCCAAACACTTCCCGACTAATGATAAAACATCAAGGACAGGATAATGTTTCTGAATGTAGATGCTGGGAGATGCATCGCCTGATGAAAATATTTCAGGGATTTCGTGCACTGTGACCGAATGCAGACAGGTTTTGGAAATGTCATAGTCCCGTGGCTGAAATTGTGCATGCAGGGGACACAGCCAACACAAAGGTCTGAATAGGATGTGGCATGCATAATAGTCAAGCAAACAAGAATTTTCCATGGGCAATTTGCAGGCTGGGTGACTCCTGGCTCGATGTTATGAGCGGCGAGATGCGAATGTGTTTGGACGTGCAATATTTCCATTTGTATGTGAAGGACGGAAATATGAAATTCCAATCACGCTGTGAGAAAATGGACGATACGAGTACTTATCGCGAGCGGGATTGTCCTGACAACACTTGCGAGACGTGTCCTCATAAAACCCATTGGCTCTGTTCCACAGTCTCTCAGCAATGCTGAATGTGTTGAATCTCTGGGTAATGGTCCAGATTTGAGCTGAGCCGGCATGAGTCAGGCCGACCTGCCTTTATTTTGTGTTGTTTATGGTGAAAAATCACACCAAGAGACCTGTTTGCAGGTGAGACCACCTCAATGACTGTGATTCTTATGATGACAGTAACGTTTTACTGATTGAATCAACTCTGATTTTAAAACGTATGTACAATTCAGCATGGGAACTGCCAAATTTTTCTACTATATTATATATTTGGTATCCTTTAAGTACTATGAATGAAGGACAATTTGCAGTTATTTGAGGAAATTGAAATTTACCTTCTTAAGACCTTCTTTCTTATATGGGACAGTAAAGAAGATATGCTCACCGGACACTTTATTGCTAGTACTGGGTTGGACCCCCTTTTGCCTTCAGAACTTCATTAATTCTTCATGGCATAGATTCAACAAGGTGCTGAAAGCATTCCTTTCATATTCTGGTTCATATTGACATGATAGAATCACACAGTTACTGCATATTTGTCAGCTGCATATTTTAACAGCTTGTTATCCTGCAGGAAGTAGCCATCACAAGATAAAGGAATGGATATGGTCAGTAACAATTTTGGTGAGCCCGTGCCAATTGTAGCCTCAGTTTTCTGTTCTTAGCTGACAGGAGTGACACTTGGTGTAGTCTTCTGCTCCTCTAGTGTAGCCCATCTGATTCAAGGTTTGATGTTTGTGCTTGATGCTCTTTTGTATACCTCGGTTGTAATGAGTCTGGCATAACCCACAGAACTGCTGCTCACTGGATATTTTCTCTTTTTTGAACCATTCTCTGTAAACCCTAGAAATGGTTGTACATGAAAATCCTAGGATATCAGCAGTTTCTGAAATACTCAGACCAGCCCACCTAGCACCAACAACCATGCCACAGTCAAAGTCAGCTTTCTTCTCCATTCTGATGCTTGTTTTGAACTTCAGCAGATTGTCTAGACCATGTCCACATGCCTAAATGCATGGAGTTGCTGCCATGTGATTGCCTGACTAGATATTTGTGTTAATGGGCAGTTAAACAATTATGAAGTGACCGGTGAGTGTATTTTGAAGATTTGTTTACTGTTTAAACAGAAGAACTGTTTTTCTCGACCAACACTGGACCCCATTGAATTTCATTATCTGGAAAAAAAATGTTTTTGTGCTCCATAGAAGAAAAAGTTTGGAAAGACATGAGAGTGAGAAAAGATACACTGATCACCTGTGTAGGAATAAAGTTAAAACAGAGGTAGAAAATATTACTATTATGAAACATTAAAAAGCTCTCCTTGTGGTCTCCGATCCAATAAAACATTTGAGTGCATGATAAATTATCTATGCTAATGTATGAAAAGCCTTAAACATATGCAATGGCTCCCTTTATGTGGTGTGTCAATCCTATTGTCAATGTCAAATGTATTATGCTGTCACAGCAGAAATTAAAAAGGTTGAAAGGCTGTCAAATACTGTCAAATATACAGTACATAGTACGCTGTCATACTACGTATTAGCAGTCTTGACAGAAACTTTGGCCTCATATCAAACATTACAGAGTATCTGTAGTCATTCAGAGTCTGAGGCAGTCAAAAACAGATAAGATTGTATTGTCTGAGTCTACATTTGCATTTTAACAAGAGCGAATGTTACATGGGTTTGGCAGAGAGAACATCTCCCAAAGGAGCCTGAATATGGAGGTTAATGCTGGACATGGTCTGTAGCGATACTTATTCTCTCTCAACAGGCCTTCGCACAGAACATCAAGTGACTGTAATTGAAACGCACACAATTCCCACTGGGACAGACGTTGGTTAAAAACAGCGGTAAATAACAGCACTGCCAACCTAGATGTAGGT